AATCGAGTCTCCGTTCAAGGTTTTTTTTTCCTCAGGGTGTGGCCCTCGTTACACCAGTGTTTTTCTCAGTTCACTTCCCCATGCCTGTTAGTGTCTACTGTCCCCCTTCCCCACAGAATCTTTGCTAAGTAGTCCAACTGGTCTCTTCCTGCTTGACATAACCTTTGGTGTCCCTTTATAAGTTCACCTTGGCTGTTCACCAAGTGAGGCAGCTCACCTTGGCAGTGGTAACCTGGGAAGGTGAGAACCTTGGCCTTGCCTAGGGAGTGCTGGAGAGCCAGGCCTCCCTGCTTTTCCCTGCTTTATGCCCTTCCTGGCAGAGCGAGAGGGCATGAGGTTTGCAGCTGATCACTGTGGCTGCTCTCCTCATAAGTTAGGAAGAGGTCCTTCTCCACAGCCTCCTCTGAAGGTGTGTTTAGATTATCTCTTGCTTTCTGTATGATGACAATCATCTGTTCGTAAATCCACGGATCCTGCTGCCATTAAATTGATTCTGATTTCATCATTTACTCATGTCCCTTGACTTTGTTTTGTCTTGAAGCGCGTCAGCAGGAGAAAGCACCTCTCAGTTCTGCTTTTTCATCTATTTGGGGCCGTGTGGCTAGCCATCTCTGAGGCACACTCTGGTTGTGTCTGATAAGGTAAGAGCTAAATAGGTTGGCTCTTCCTGTGTGAGCTTTTTGCCACAATTTCATCTTGTGGGAGTGGGCGATAACTGCCAATAGCTGAGGTCCAGAGTTTAGTGGCAGACTTGACACATAAACGAGTTATCATTTCATGTTGATGTCCTCAAATTCCTGTTACTTTGAACATTTTAAATTCATAAATAAGGATAGATACATACATACAGACAGACATAATGTTGGGAGTTTTCAGAAGAATTTCTTTTTTTTCCCTCTTTTATTGTGCATTTTCTTCCTCCCTTCTCTCCCCCTTCCCCCAGCTCACCCAGTAATGCACCCCTTGTTCCAGATTTGTTGTCATACATATAATACTTAATCGTATATTCCTTTTGGACAGCTCTTCCCCTCATCTGTTCTACTCAGTTTTAGTTATCTATCTGTCTGTCTGTCTATTTATCTATGTACTCTTTTCCTGTTCTTTGCCCACCCCATCGCCATCTGCCCTATTTTGGTTAGGTTTTTTTTTTTTTTGGTTTTGGTTGTTTTTTTTAGAACGTAATTCACTTTATTTGTTATAGAAAATCCAGTATGTGGTGGCCACAGCTGGAGCCTGAGTCCTCTGCACGGAGACTCTGGTGTGAGTCTTTACAAGATGATCTGTGAATTCCTAAAAATATGGAATGCTTCACGAATTTGCGTGTCATCCTTCGCAGGGGCCATGCTAATCTTCTCTGTATCGTTCCAATTTTAGTATATGTGCTGCCGAAGCGAGCACTATTTTGTAACAGCAGTATTACCAGCATTTTCCTTTTTTTTAATTTTTTTTTAGCATTTTTCTTTTTTGACTAAGATATTTCACTCAGCATAATGTCCTCCAGGTTCCCCCATGTTATGTAATGCTTTATGAGTTTGTTGTTTTTCAGTGCTGCATAATATTTCACTGAGTATATGTATCCATTCATTTGTTGTTGGACATTTGGGCTGCTATTGTGAATATAGCAATCTCTTTGCTATTGTGAATAGTGCAGCAGTAAATATGGATGTGCATATATCTGTTTTGAGTTGTGGCTCTGGTTTCTTTAGGATATATTTCCAGTAGTGGAATTGCTCGGTCAAATACTATTGTCTATTTCCAACTTTTTGAGAAACCACCATACTGACTTCTGTAGTGGCTGTACCATTTTACACTCCTTTCAGCAGTGCATAAGAGTTCAATTTCTCCACAACCCCACCAGCATTTGTTGTCTGTTGACCAGTTAAGCTTTGCTATTGTTGCTAGAGTAAGATGATACCTCATAGTTGTTTTGATTTGCATCTCTCTAATAGCTAGAGATCTTGAACATTTATTTATGTATTTTTTTGCCATCTGAATTTCTTCTTTGGTGAAGTGTCTGTTAATATCTTGTGCCCATTTTGTGATTGGGTTGTTTCTTTTTTATTGTTGAGGTGCTGGAGTATTTTATAAATTTTATATATAAGTCACTTATCAGATATGTCACTGCCAAATATTTTTTCCCACTCTGAGTTTCCTTCTTACCCTGTTGGAAGAGTTTTTTGATGTGCATAGATTTGGTTCTTAGAAGGTCCCATTCATCTGTTTTATTCTGTCCTGGTAGTAGGTGTCATCAGTGTTTAAGGAGTTGATTGCTATTTTAACCAAACTCATTGAAATCAGACTGAATTGGCAATCTGTGCAGAGCCTGGATCTCTTCCTTGACTGGACTACTTGGTTCCCCTCCCAGTGGCCTTTGGGACACCCACATGCTCCCCAGAGGGTGCTTGGTGAGCAGGGATCTCTCATTCAGGCTGTGGTAGAAGCTAAAGGATTACATTTGCCTTGGTGCCAATTTGAATACTTTTCTGACAATAGGAATACTCATGTCCCACCTATCAACTGCTGATACACTGTGAGTCTCTGATGAAGGACTCCTTATGCTTTTCAGTGGCTTGAGTTAGTTGGTTTCCAACTCTAGGGTCTTTGTGTAGTTGCTTCTTGTGATCTCACCTCATCCCTGAGCCTCACCAATCAGAGAGCTGATCACACTTTCTTTAGAGGGCTGTGCAAACACTATGTGTACTCTTGTTCACCTTTTCACAGGAGCAGATCTGTCTGTGTCACATCTGTGTCATGTTCCTGATCTCCCTGAGATCATAATTTATCCGGATGCTGTAGCACCTCTTGTTAGTAACCTCTTAATTTTTCCTCCTTTTTTAGCTACTCCCGGAACCGCACCTTTGACACATACATTGGCCAGGGCTACGTGATTCCTGGGATGGATGAAGGTTTACTGGGTGTGTGCATTGGAGAGAAGCGGAGGATTGTGGTGCCCCCTCACTTGGGGTATGGAGAGGAGGGACGAGGTGAGTGCACCAGGGCACTAAGTGTGTTGATGTACATTGCCCGGAATGAGGGCCTCTAAGGGGCCAAAACACTCACGGCCAGATTAAAACTCAAGGATCCAGTTAGCTTTAATTTCTAGTGTTATTATTTCTCCCTCCCTGTGCCTGTTTTTTATTTTTAAAAGTCTTACACTTACAGGGGAGCTCTGGTGGCCTAGTGGCAAGGAGCTGCAACTACAATCCCAGAGGCGCACGGTTCAAATCCACCAGATGCTCTGCTGGGGAAGGAAGGACAATCTCCTCCTGTACCAGTCAGATCTGATTTGATGGTACACTCACACAAAAATAATAAAATAATAATAAAAAAAGTCTTAAACTTACACCAAAGTTGAAAGAATTGTACCTTGAACTCCATTTAGATTTAACCATTTGTTAACATCTTTCTATTATTTATTTGATCTATGCTATAATTACACTTTTTTAAGCTGAACTATTTGAAAGTAAACTTTATGAAAACCCTCTTTCTTTAAAAAATTATTTTGTTGAGGTGAAATGGTCATACCATAAAATTCACTCATTTTTAGTGTACAATTCAGTGATTTTTAGTCAGTTGAATGGGTTTTGCAACTATCAGCATAGCCTAAGATTGCAACAGTTTTGTCACCATAATAGAAAATTCCCCTTTTAAAATTACACAAATAATATACATTGGCCTTATTGTTATGTACATTGAGTTCAAACCTACCCCATAGCTGATCCTTCAGCAGGTTTTCAGAGGAAAAAAAATCACTCAGGAGGATATTGATCAATTTTTTACCCTGGTAGAGCTGGTGGATTTGAACCAAGTGCCTCAGCCAGCAGCGCTACCTAGATTAGAAAGAGAAAATACAAATAAAGAAAGCAAACAATCTTACTTCCCAGAAAATAAAGTGGTAACCATGAAGTGAATGTCTTTCTGTACTTTGTATATAGTGAATCTGTATATGTAAAATGGATATAAAACCTGCAAAATTAATACTGATGAAAATAGTTCAATCATTACTTCGCAGTTTCTCTCTTCACCTAATTAATTGTGAACAACTTTCCACAGCAACACATTTTTAAATGAATACTTTGTATAATGAGGGAGCTCTGGTGGCCTGGTAGTTAAGGAGTTGTACTGTCAACCCAGATGCAGGAGGTTCAAATCCACTGGATGCTCCAAGGGGAAAAGATGGAGCAATCTCCTCCTATACAGTTAATTTACAGCCTCTAAAAACCTACTGGAGGGTCAGCTATGAGTTCAATTCCAACTCAATAGCTTTTAACAACAACATAATATTTTGAACCATGCTTTCATATTAATTTTCATTTTGGACATCATTTGTGATTAATTTGACATAGTATTTATTTTGATTTTGTATTCTTTTTGCTGATGGCTGACTTATTTGCAGGACTCATACGATTTTCTTTTAACCTGCTTCTGGCATTCATTGATCCTGGGGACCCTGGTAATTGTCCCATCAGGGCATGTCCTAGGTGATCAAGAAAACATCTTGATTAGAAACTAGACAGTGATGTAGAGAAACTCTGTTTTTTCCTTTCCTGACTTAAATTTCCGACTCATTAAGCCACAGCCAATTTCAGTCTGACACGTTCAACAGATCTTTCTTCATGCCAAAGGCACCTCATTTTTAATATTTTAATCCTCTGTTGTTTTCTATCATGTAAATTTCTACTTCTACCTAAATACAGAGAGAAAGAGAAATCCTCTCTTAATATTCTGATTTCATTATAACTTGAAGCCTAAGTCTTGCCCTAAGAAGAACACATTGATGAAAAACATTTGCTTAAATTACTTTCTTCCTTTTGGCTTTCTGTCAAGTATTGAGACAGAGCTCTGCAGAGAATTCTGTAAGGCTCTGGGTAGCATCGGAGGCGCATCAGTTTTCTGAGCCTGAGGCTGCTTCACTCTGAATCACATGTTGGCTGTGGGCTCAGGAGTGCCTGATGTGTAAAACTGAAGAGTTCTTGGAGGACCTGCCTTTGTCTTCTCTTAAATGGTCCTTGTGGTCTCATTTTGGGGTTACAATAGGATATAAAACTAGTTGTTGAGGGGCTGATCGGAGATAGGCTCTGAGACAGGATCTGCCTTGTCTGTGACATTCTCATCACTGAGCAGAGGGTCAGACACTTAGTAATTGTACAATAAATAAACCTGCTTTTCCCATTTGTTCCTCCCCATTGTTATCACTGTTCCCTAAGCTTCCTTCAGCTCTTAGTCTTTGGAGCTTCCATTGTCAATTTGACCTTGTATAGATAGATTTTACGAGAGCAAAATGTACAAGATAGACATTCTTTTCCAGTTAAGCTAAACTTGCTTGGTTTTAAGATACTTTTCATTTAAGGTTTTCTCAGCAGCCATGTGGTGGTTGATTCACACGCTAAAGCTCCGGAAAGTCTGGATTCTGTGAGGATGTACCTCTTTTGGGGGAGCAATTCTAATGGTAAAAATTGAAGGAGGATTTGTTCAGGGAGAAGTTTGGTTTGGGGGCCTTAATGAAGTGTTTGGCTATCTGTATCTCTTTGTTCGTCATCTCGTTCCTATGCCTGGTTTGTAGGTAGCTTTGTAGAACTTATTAGTTCCTGGATAGTACAGACAGTTATTACACTTGGTTACTAACTAAAAGGATGGTGGTTCAAGTCCACGCAGAGGCACCTTGGAAGAAAGGCCTGGTGATCTAGCTCCCAGTTGTCACATATGGAAAGCCTGTGGAGCATTCTTCAACTCTTGATACACAGGGGATACCAAGAGTCGGAGCCAACTTAATGGTAGCTGGTTTATATGGAATTTAGATCAGGATAGGGCTGGTGAGCGTTTGAGTCCTGCTAGGAACTGGTGCGGATGAAAGCTTACAGCTGAGGGTCTGGACTTCATCTGTGCAGGCCCAGGATCTCCATATGCCTGCTCATCACCGACTCATTGGGTGCCTGCATGACCAGGCACTGCTCAAGGTGCTGGAGAGAAAAAAACAGAAGCAAACCCCTGCCCACGTAGACACAGCTTTCTTGTCGCTGCCCTCAGTAATGTGTCTGTACCTGACCTAACTTGGCACCGGGAAGGACTGACTCACAGTAACTTCTTAACAGCTGAGACACAAACCTGGCAGCTAAGTAGTTACTTTATGAGGTTTAACTCCACCTCTCACTGATGGGTATACTTAGGCCTGGAATCCTCACAATCTGAGATGCTGATTTATCGGAAATGTTTTAGCAGGCTGAAGACAGATCCCAGGGTGGTGGGTTGTCTCTTTCTTGGAGCTCCTATGAGAGTGATTTGCATCCTTTTTGCTCTGATAATCCTCTGCTTAATATACTGTAGAGAGGATATTATATTTGCGTTAGCACATTTTAGTATCTGCCCAGTTTGGCTCTGGGAGCTCTGTGGCCTAGTGTTAAGAAGTTGCACTGCAATCCCAAAGGCACACAGTTTGAATCCACCAGTTGCTCTACAGAAGAAGGGTGGGCAGTCTCTTCCCATGTGATATACTGCCTCTGAAAATCCAGTGGAAGATTAGCTGTAGGTCACTTCCAACTCAGCAGCACACAACAGCAACAGCTTGGTTCAAGAAGGATGCTGCCCAAGGTGTCCCTTTTCAGGCTCCAACCATATATTCATATCTGTTCTTCAGCATAGGTTGATATAAACAAACAAGCTGGACTTCTTTTCCATTAATCACATCTTATTCCAGTCACAGGATGTGCCTCTATTAGGCAGGGAGGCTTCCAGAGTCTTCTCAGCCTTTTTGTTTATAGATAATTAAGCTTGCACGCATGCTCTCGCGCTCACGCTGTCTCACACACACACACAACCAAACAACCAAAACATTGTCTGGAGACAACTGTGAATAGTAAATAAGACAGTTTCTAAGACCTCCATGGAAGCATAAAAAGTGGCTAATAGGTTCTAACTGCCAACTTTTTAGTTAAACAGCCAGTTGCTTAATTACTGCACTGCCAGAATGCACACATGCAACAACACACACCCCAAAACCCAAAACCAAACTCACGGCCATAGTGACCTTACTCATAGTTGCCTTACTGGGTAGAGTAGAAGAGCCCCATAGGGTTTCCGTGACTATAAATATTTATGGAAGTCTGTTGTCCTATCATTATCATTAATGTCATTATTATCATATGCAAGTAAACTCTTGTTGAAGATTATTTAGAAACGGACAGAATAGTATAGTGACAGTGAACAACCAGAAATTCAAGCTGGATTCAGAAGAGACCTTAGAACAAGAGATATGAAAGCTGAAAATATTAGAAAGATAATTTACTTATGTTTTAGTGACTATGCAAAGGCATTTGACATTAATAAATTATTGGTAACATTAAGGAGAATGAGAACCCCCGAACACTCACTGTGCTCATGAGAAACCTGTTCATGGAACAAAATTCGATTGTCTGAACAGAATAAGGGAACATTGCATGGCTTGAAATCAGAAAAGGTGCATCAGGATTTTTATCCTTCATTTATGCCTAATTAGTCTGTATGCTGAGCAGGTCATTCAGGTCATTGGGCTTTGTGAAGAAGAATGTGGCATCAGGATTGGAGGAACACTCATCAGCAACCTGCATTATGCAGATGACACAACCTTGCTTGCAAGAAGTGAAGAAAATGTAAAGCTCTTACTGCCAAAGGTCAAAAACAGTCTTCAATATGTATTGCTGTTGCTGTTGTGTACCATGGAATCAGAACCGACCCATAGTTGACCCTCTGGAGGATTTTCAGAGGCAGTTAATCACACAGGAAGAGATTGTCCATCTTTACGGATTACCTCTCAAAGTAAACAGAAATCTTCACAACTGGGCCAATAGAGAATGTCACTGTGGATGGAAAAGAGATTGAAATTGTGAGTGATTTCATTTTTTAACTTGAATTCACAATCAAAACTTGTGGTAAATGCTGTTAAACATAGCAGTCAAGATAAGAAAAGGTTTACTGCATTGGCCGAATCTACTGTCAAGGAACTCCTGAG